CAATTATACTTGTGTGTTGCCGTCAGAAATAAAATTTTTCATATAAAAATTCTTAGCGTATCCCATCATATTACCATTACATAATAGCGTACTATTTATTTCACCGAAGCAATTTATCAGTTAAAGTAGACTTGGATACAGATAATTTGGTGTTATTTACAACTTTTAGTTGAAACGCAAAGCTTACTTAAAATTGCTTTCCAAAAAGACAAAAACCTTTTTTTATATTGTTATGATTGAAGAAGAGAAATTTTTATCGCTATTTACAGAAAATATTTTTCCCTTATAATACAACTGATGAAAATTGTGGTTTCATTCAAAGCCACTATTATAGTATTTATGGACCGCTACTAGAATAGAAGTAGAAGTTATACGAGTATATATTTGACATTGCCATCAATTATTTCTGCGAATTCAATAGAATATACAAAAACTTGAACATTCAGTCGAGGGCCAAGCGAGTCGAAGCGACAAGCGTTACTTGTAATAATATTATATTTCAGGTTTTATTTTATTTGAGAATTTAGATTTAAAAAACTTATCAAAATCCACTATTGAAGATGGGTATGAGTGTAAGTAAGTGAGGGTGCAGATCCAGGTCTGATCTCCACTCAAATCCCCATTCCCACCCTCAGTCTGTCAATCCTTCTTTGATCAATATTGTTTGTGTTATCGTAAGCACTATACTATTTCATGGTAACAAAAAAATATTTTTTTCTTTACGCACGAGGGAACCACCCAAGATGATAAAAAGCTTTATCGACTGGGGTATAATGGTTAGGTAGGGCATGGTTAGGGGTGATATATCCTAAATTAGTTCATGATACGTAGTGGTACATTATAGTCAGGACACCTATATTGTGTAAAGCATCAAAGATTATGGGATAAGCACAGCACGCATTTTCATCGGGGCTGTTCTAGTTGTGATGTTTGTGGAATGAACGAAGAAATATATCACTACGGCACTATCTAACAACGATAAGAAGCTTTTCTAAACTATTAAAACATATACTGATGCGGTCTTCATCCGATAAATACATTTGAACACATATATGTGTCGCCGGGAGCGAAACGGTTCATTTGAGGATCTTGATCTAGAGAAAAGTAATCAAAATTTATTCCTATTACATCGAAAATAATTCCTCAGTACTCCTTTTTTTAATTTAGTCGACGACAAATTTTCGGGTCATTTTCCTTGAATTATTGTCTAATTCAATCCCGGTAACCTTTTTTGATCCTGGTCCTAGCCTCGGTGAAGTCTTATTTTTTGGTCTCACACATGCCTAATCTTCATCTCTTCTTCCGAACGGTGAAAATCGCAACTCTCTATCATTACAGCAAAAAAAAAAGAAAACTTCTTCAAGCTTTCTATATGGAAATAAGATAATGATGACACTACTTGTGGTATGTCCTAAGGCGTAGCTCTTGTTAGAAGCAACTTAGGATATACCACCCCTAGCCATGCCCTATCTGACCATCACACCTTCGATCAAAAAGCTTTTTAGCATCCCAGATGGTTCCCTTATCAGTGGGAATATGAGCCATCCGTTTTCGGTAAGTATGTGAGAGCGAGGCATCAATCAAAAAAAAAAGAAAAATATAGCACAAACCATGAGAAATATTCATTCTGCTTTTCATACAATTTTCTATAGATAAGAAAGTGTTCTTCATTTATTAACTCATAGCAAACGATTCAAAGTAAAAAAAAACATGTTCTACTACGCAATTTTCGTTATTGTCGCTCTTTTTACGAACGGTTCGACTGGGACACCAACAAAGTCACTGACAGATGAACCAGAACGTTGTTGTATACCAAAACAATTTAGTTCAGTAATGAGTACATCAAGTGGTGTGGTTCTTCCAGATGGTAAAACAATCGCCACATATGTAAGTCATCCGTTTGAAAAATACTGTAATCGAAAATCTGCTCTATTGAAAAAATAGGGAACCTACAATTTTTCATATGATGTGGATCGTGGTATGGTTGGAATGCAAGGTGTATCATTTTCGATATTTGATCAACAGAAATCAAATTTATGGATTATTGAAAGTATGAGTGACGGAAAGATTTATACATATGATCGAGATTCGAAACAGTGCTACAAATCAACAATGCCGATTCATCCAATTACTTGTATACCAGGTTTATATCGAGTTTATTCATTAATTATTATTCTTATTTCAATAATCATAAGACTATTCTTTTTTTCTTTTGTTTCCATATAGATACAGCAACTTACGTACGTTCGGTTACGTATGGATATGGGGATAAACAAATAATAGGAGATACATGGCTTGTAAAAATCGATGACGCGATTACATATTCGACAGTTAGTCGTGATGGTCTTTGCGTTCCATTGACTGGACATAGTTTTCTCCCAAACCCAGGTAAATAACTGTTTTATATCAATGATACATTTGCTGCTATTTGGTCATTGTAGCTGTAACAACTGCAATCACAACAACTGATTTTGTACCGAAGATCATTGATCCAACTATATTCGATATACCAGACGAATGCAAAAATATTGTCTAGTTTTTCCGTTTTCTTCTCAAAAACAGACACGAACCATTGTTCATTAATGTGAACGTTTTACCTTCTCCCATGAAATAAAAGAAAACTGTTGTTACATATATATGTGAGACAGCAAAACACAAATGTAATACGAACTATTACAACTGAAGTTGCAATATTTAAAGTTAAATAGAAACTCTTCAATCAAATATAAATGGTGTGAGTGTGGATGAAGTAAAGACTCACACGGATCCCAACACTCAGGCTCGTCCATTTTGAAAATCCAATGCACTCCAACGTAATACGTGAACTGTTTGCTATTTGCAAGATCAAAGGTTGGAACAATATCCAATGACGATCATGCAATGATAGACATTACTGATGCAGACAGTCCTCCATATATAAAGTCTATGATTCCATCACTCTTCGCTTTGAAATCGAAAAGTCCTTCCATCCTATTGGTCATCTTACTTCGAAAAGAGTCCAAAGTGATCAAGACTTTCGCTTTGCTTGTGGTTCAATTCTTTTGATAATCACCTCATTGATGCACACAAAAGAAAAGATAACATTGGAATATTAATGATTGCAGTAGTGGACAATAGGACTGGTTTACAAAGAAATGCTTGCCCTCTAACAAAGTCAAACCCATCGAGAAATGGGAAGAAAAAAAGCATATATATACATTTACTGCTGTGAATATATCTGAAAAAAATTTTGCCTTTCTTTAACGTAATGAAATTTCGCCTTTGAATCGATCAGAAAAATATTTACCAACGTCAAAACTGTTCTATTGAATAATTCGTCTCATCATGGATGTGGGTATTAGTGCTTGTCAACAGTATTCAAACATCCACACCTACACTCAACATTCATCGCTTACCGTTACTACTTACGAGTTTGCCATACCTGCACTAACAATCACTATCATCCTCATCCACATCGATACTCACATCTAGGTCCATACCCATACATTCTATAGTGAAGACTCATGGATCAAAAATAGCCTTGATGACTGACTCAAGACTGAATTTATCGCTTCAAATATGAGAATATCAAGAAAATATGAATTTCCGTATGGGATGTCTGGCAACATTTGCAATCAAATAACCATGACCAAGTTTAAACTAGAATTCATTTCGTTAAGTGTAGCGACATCTTCATACTCTTTAGAAAAGAGTCAACGAATCCAAAGGATGAGCACTAATAAGTTGTACATACAAAGTTCGAGAGATTCATTCTCTATTTTCGAATATCGATCTATCAGTGTGTGAGAAGTACTTCGATACATTGTTTGAAGATAAAACTGAGACCCTATCCTCGATTTAAGTTGGATTATATTAGATAGATGGTATTAAAAGATATATAATGATTTCAATGACTGTGATATCAATCCCAAGCAGTGATTCTCCTTGCATTTTTGAATCATTATCTTGTTTATAATTGATCATCATTGTATTCGCATATGTTTTGTTAGTAGCACTTTGTTCCAATTCAATCATGTTTTAATCAAATTTTGCTAATCCACAGTGAATCGATTACACGATGTGTGATCAAAATTATTTTCCTTTGGTTTTAACTCAACTTCTAGTTTTTCTTAACTCATTTCTTTAGAATTATTGACAAATTCAAAATGAAATCTCAAGATAGAAAAGAGTGAGGCACATAAGTAGACAAATTGATTTACTTCGAACTGCTCACCGAAACTATATAGTCTTACATGAAATAATACAAGGAAAACTTCAACAAAGAACGTATTTAGTCAATATCTGGTGAAATATTTTGACAAATTACGTTCGACTATTTTAATCGAATTTGTTAGATAACCATGATAATCAATTCATAGGTGAAGTTAAGAAAATAAAAATAAGATAGATTTATTTTAATTTTGTTCAACTTTCATGGAGTCGTCAATCATTACAAAAAAATATGTATGAATATAAAAGAATGCATTCGAAACCTATAAGTATTTTTATTAATGGTTAAAAAAATTGATTCAATATCGTAAAAATTTTTGTACTCGATGATTCATCGCGTCCGCTACCAATAAATTGAGTTGATTATCGAGTCTTATAGAATAAGGAGCATAGAGTTGAGTGGAATTGGAACCACTGAGGCCAGTAATACCAGCAATTGTTGTTCCATTTGTTTGACCAGCTAAAAAAAGTTGTATACGATGATTTCCTGTATCAGCTACATACATATTACCCATCGGATCGAGTGTAACGCCTGTAGGATAACTGAGAAGTGTTGATGAACTGCCAACCATTCCAGGGGTCCCTGCAACCAAAGTCCAATTACTATAGTCTAATGTACAGCGAACAATATGCTGACCACCATAATTAGCAATCAAAAGACTGTTCGATACTGAATCAAAATGAATTCCAACAGGATAATACAGTTGTGTACGGTTTGTCCCTGATCCTTGTCCTCCGATGACCAAAGTACCATTAGATGCACCCGATGCATAACTCATGACACGATTATTGTTGTAATCAGCGATGTAAAGTGTATTTGTATTTATGTCACGCGAAATAAAGTATGGAGAATGAAGTCGATTGTACGCAGAACCTGATGAACCTACAGACAAAATCATGTACAAATTAATCAAATATTAAATAATTTAAATAGAGAAATTGGTACATGTTTTTATATTCAAATATCTTTGTTCATATGTTTACTGAAAAGGAACAAAACGAATTTTAAATTATTTATTTTGCCAGTCATATTTAAGAAAATATTCACTGAAATATGCATAAAGTTCTTTATATGGAGAGTTTTACATTTATTATACTACTAAATTACAAGTGAAACGTAAGTATTTTTAAAACTATTGATTAAATATATTTAAATTATCACTTAATCTAGGATCTCTGTTTCTTTTTATCCCACCTGTGCCAGCAATTGTAGTTCCCGATGTTG